TTTTTTGAAGAATTACAGGTACAAGGAAATAGAGAGTAAGTGCTTACCAGGTAAAGAATTTTCTTTTGGAGAAACAATAATTTTGAATGTACTAAATACTGCTGAATTGTATACTTTGATAAATTTCATTTATGACAAGTATAATTGAAAAATAACTTACTTATAGATGTTGTGAGTTGGAAATGATGGGTTTTCATATGATATTAACCTACATCTTCCAGTCCTAAAAATTAGGTTTTTGGACCATACCTGGAGATGCTCTGGGTTTACTCCTGGCTCTCTCAGGGATTACTCCTGGCAGTGCTTAGGGGCCAAATATGTTGCCAGGGATCAAACCACGATTTGCAGAAGTCATATGCAAGGCAAGTGTCCTACACACTGTGCTGTTTCTCTGGGGTTCAATCCCTGGTATCATATGTAGTTTCTTCCCCAAGCATCACCAGATATGGCTCAAAAAAAAAAAAGACAAAATAAGTCTTTAATAAAAACTTTCTTGCAAAAAAAAGTTTGATACAAACACAAAAGTAATTAATCTCCTAGTTATTTGGCTAAGTGGTTAAAAATGATGTATATTCATGTGGCAAGGTTCTGGGTTCAATCTGGCATTATAAAACTAAAACAAACCAAAAAAAGTACAATAGACTTCATATTTAATTATAGTAAATTCCTACATAAAAATAGACCCTAGTAAAGCAATGACTTGTAATAGTTTTAAAGAATCATTATATTCTTAAAAGGCAAATATGAGCAGATCATAGAGAAATATACATAAGCTTTATTTATTTATTTTTGGATTTTGGGCTACACTGGATTATGCTCGGGGCTTATTCCTGGCTCTGCACTCAGGAATCTCTCCTGGCATGCTCAGAGGATTGACTGTATGGTGCTAAGGACTGAACCCAGGTTGAGAATGTTCAAGGCAAGAATCCTACCTGCTGACCCATCAGTCCAGCCCTATGTAGCTGAATATCTTTAGTAACACTATAAAACTGTTCAAGAAAAAAATCTCATAGTAAGTAATAGGAGCTATAAATGTAGGAAAGTAGAAATTTCAGTCTGGGCATTACACCTTTAAAGGAACATTCGAAGTAGAAGCAGAAGGAAATAATTTTTTGTTTGCTTTGCTTTTTGGGTCACATCTGGTGATGCTCAGGGGTTACTCCTGGCTCTGCACTCAGGAATCATTCCTGGTGGTGTTCGTGGAACCATATGGGATGCTGGGAATCAAACCCGGTCAGCTGTGTGCAAGGCAAACACCCTACCTATTATATTCAATTTGCTATTATATTCAATTTGCCTTACATGCAACCAACCTGGGTTCAATCTCCAGCATCCTATATGGTACCAGAGCACTGCTAGAAATAGTTCTTGAGTGCAGAACCAGGAATGACCCCTGAGCATTGGCAGGTGTGGCCCCACCCCAAAATCTCATGGTCATAATAAAAAAAATAGAAGTAAGGGGAATCCTTATATAATACAAAAGATATAGTTAATTATTATTGCTTAAGTACAATGTAATCTCTATCAGTGAGCAAATATATATGCACAATATGCATACACACAAACACATGTATATAAATATCACTGTCACTGTCACTGTCCTCCCGTTGTTCATCGATTTGCTCGAGCGGGCCCAGTAACATTGTGAGACTTGTTACTGTGTTTGGCATATTGAATACATCATGGGTAGCTTGCCAGGCTGTGCCGGCAAGATAACCTCGGTAGCTTGACGGGCTCTCCGAGAGGACCGGAGGAATCGAACTCGAGTCAGCCATGTTGGCTGCGTGCAAGGCAAATGCCCTACACGCTGTGCTATCGCTCCAGCCTGTATATAAATATATAGATATTATATTAATATACAACAATGGAGCTGGGAGATAGCTCAAGTAGCAGAGCACATGCTTAGCGTGTGTAAGGCATTGAGCTTGATCCCTGGCAATGCAGGTTGCTCCAAATGAGCACAAGCAGGTATAATCCTGGTAGTCCCCAGCACCAGCAAGTATGGCCCGATTAAAATTAAAACAATGTAAATATGATAGATGAAAATGTATGTGAATTAAATACATTTTAAATAAATTACTTTTAAATATGGGCTGGAGCGAGTGATAGCACAGTGGTAGGGCATTTGCCTTGCAGAAGCCAACATAGCTGACCCAAGTTCAATTCCTCCGCCCCTCTCAGAGAGCCCGGCAAGCTACCAAGAGTGTCTCGCCCGCACAGCAAAGCCTGGCAAGCTACCCGTGACGTATTCGATATGCCAAACACAGTAACAAGTCTCACAATGGAGACGTTACTGGGCCCACTTGAGCAAATCGATGATCAACGGGAGGACAGTGACAGTGACAGTGACTTTTAAATATTAAAAAATGTTAATCATGGTCACGTCACAGTCATCCCATTGTTCATCAATTTCCTCGAGCAGGCACCAGCAACGTCTCCATTCGTCCTATCCCTGAGATTTTAGCATGTGCCACATTGGAGACTCTTTTAAGGTCATGGGAATGAGACCCATCATTGTTACTGGGTTTTGGCATATCGAATACGCCATGGGGAGCTTACCAGACTCTGCCATGTAGGCAGGATACTCTCGGTAGCCTGCCAGGTTCTCCAAGAGCAAGAACTATAAACAATAATAGGACAATAACATTTTTTATTAAAAAAGTTAATAAAATACAGAAATTGATTTGATATTTATATATGTAATTTTTTAATGGAATAAGAATGAACCTCAATAGGGTCTTTTAAAAATAAGTTAGAGGGGGCTGGAGTGATAGCACAGCGGGTAGGGCTTTGCCTTGCACGCTGCTGACCCGGGTTCGATTCCCAGCATCCCCAGAGCACAACCAGGAGTAATTCCTGAGTGAAGAGCCAGTAGTAACCGCAGTGTATTGCCGAGTGTGACCCAAAACCCAAAAAGAAAAAAAATTAAGTTAGAGAACAATAATTTTCTCAAAACTATTTTCCAAAATTATTAATAATTACCCAAAGATCAGTATAAACAATATAGTAAAAAGTCATAAAAGTAAATGATACACAATGTAGTACAAACTATGTTTAAAAGAAAATCTTAATTACTAAAAATTATTTTATTTTGTTATGTCCTTACTTTAAACTTCTTGTTGAGAAAAGTTTTTAGCCTAATTGCTTGCTAAGATTTTGAGAAATATTTTTTATTTAAAGACATTATCATTCTTGTAAATGAAAATGTTTCTCATATAATACTTTGGTTAAGATACAGGAACATGTTTAAAAATACCAACGAAGGAAAGTCAATATATATATGCAAATTGATAGTCCTATAGATGCAGAAAAATGAATGGCTTTCATAAGACCAATAAAATAATATTTTGAAAATACTAACAAATGTGACTACTCAGTTCTCATGGTAAAACATCCACTATAAAGTAACTGCCTAAATACTCAATACTGCTGTGAGCAACTGTTGCTACAGAAATCATCACAAAAGGCAAGTAAAGGCAAACTGGACATTGTTTTTTCAGAAGTTAAAGAAAGGAAATCTTGAGTAGCCTTGAAGAAACAATCTTAACTACATATGAAAATTTAAGGGTTTTTTTTTTTTTTTGCATTTTGGGTCTCACCCGGAGATGCTCAGGGGTTACTCCTGGCTCTGCACTCAGGAATTACTCCTGGCGATGCTCAGGGGACCATATGGGATGCTGGGAATTGAACCCGGGTCGGCCACATGCAAGGCAAACGCCCTACCCGCTGTGCTATCACTCCAGTCCCAAAAGTTTAAGTTTTTAAGGAAGCTGACTTAAGAGACACTGTAATAGCTCAAATTCTCTCAACTATCAGAATTTTTCTTACACTTTCTGGGATTCTAACAATTACAGAATTTATAGATTCATACGCATTACCTATTTACCAAAATCAATGTAATTAAGCAGTCAAACTTCATTATACAGTACTCTGAATTTTTTCAGTTTCTTTCACTTCTCACCTAACACCCAAATGAAACAAGCTGCAATTAGAAGTAATGGAAAAGGAAGCAATGCTATGGTGGTCTCATAGGAATATATTTCCCCCAGAATCCATTTATCAAAACGATCTCGTTTCCCTTCTTCCTAATCAACATTTTCATTCGTTTGTCTAACAATCATTATCACTATCACTATCACCCTGTTCATTGATTTGTTCAAGTGGCCACCAGTAATGTCTCCATTCATCCCTGTCACATGCTAGTGTAGCCTGATGGCATATTTGGGCTCTTTCAGGGTCAGGGGAATGAGGACCATCATTGTTGCCGTTTTGGGCATATCGAGTACACCACGGGTAGCTTGCCAGGCTCTGCCATGCGGGCGGGATACTCTCAGTAGCTTGCCGGGCTCTCTGAAAGGGATGGAGGCCTTTGGGGCAGTCTCAAATCACCTTTACAGGTGTTCCCAGTTAGGCATATATGCGGGCGGAATACTCTTGGTAGCCTGCTGGGTTCTCTGAGAGTGAGAAGTAGACAATAAGAGGTCGCGTGAAATGCGGCCATGCTTCCGGGAGCTTGGTTTTATAGTTCCTGGATCTTGGCCGTTGATGGGGTTACATGGCAGTTGATGGGTGTATGTAACTGTCTAGCTACTGGAAGATGGGGGATCTGGGTGGACGAGGCCCAGTCCTGAACTGAGCAGGCTTGGAGATCTCAGCCCGGGTCCCACACACTTGGGTTCCTCTGCCAGTTCCTTCATGTGTGAGGCTTGTCTAATAAAATATATCTTTTTTCACTTCTCCAAAGAATTTTATAGTCATAAGAATAAAACATTAAAAAAATTAACTCACCTGACCTTAATGTTGGAGAACATGAGTAACATTCTGGAGTCTCCTTTAAAATAACTTTACCCATTTATAATATTTTCTTTTAAATTTTACAATAATACTTTCTATGTACGTAACTTTACACTGTGCACAATGTATATAATAAACATCTTAAAATTTTTAAACAAACATTTTGTGAAATCTTTTTAGTGTAATATTCATCAACTGTTTCTTACTTTGCTTCAACTTATGGAAATCACCAACTCTATCCCTGGAAGCATGCTTTAGTATATCTGCTTGAATTCTCGGTTCATTCTCTAACTTTGGGCCTGGAATTAAACGCTGAAGAACATTTGAAGGGTTCTGTTTTGAGGTACCAGGGTTTCCATTGAGGTTTACATGGGAATCTACAAAACAAAGACACCATAATGAAGTCATATTTTATGAAGGAATTTCACAAAACCTACTTTAAAAAAGCTAAGATACATTGTTGTCTCATGTTGGGTAGTCATGCAGACTTTTTCTTTATTCTAATTTTTTCTAATTAAATCTTGTGAAGTTTAATCACTCCCTAGTGTCTCCATTACTAAATATATATCTATTCATCAAAGGGATATGTTGGAGAAAGATCAAAATGAAAATGACACATGTATCTTTTACTTCCTACAGATTCTATACTGCTTTCAAAAAAATTCAAAATCCAGTAAGCCTTCTTAAAATTCTAATATCTGGGGGCTGGAGCGATAGCACAGCGGGTAGAGCGTTTGCCTTGCATACGGCTGACCCAGGTTCAATTCCCAGCATCCGAAATGGTTCCCCTAACACTGCCAGGAGTAATTCCTGAGTGCAGAGCCAAGAATAACCCCTGTGCTGGGTGTGACCCAAAAAGTAAAAACAAAAAAAAAAAATCTAATATCTGTCATTTTTATCTATACAGTGACTCACAAGTGTTAATTCTTTCCACCATGTCCCCACCTTTTTCTTCATGAAAACCTTGCTTTAGATTCTTATTACAATCAATCTAATCATAAAATCTCAATTTTAGGGAAACATTTCTATAAAATATAACAGAAACTTAGTAGAAAAAAAAAGATACACATTCACAAGTATAGAGTGTAATACAAGTGGATTTAATAAATTACATATGGCCTATCTCTGTAAGATAAATTTAAACACTCTTTGTTTGCTTTGTCCACACCAAGGGGTGCTCAGGGTTTACTCCTGCTTCTGCATTCAGGGATCACTCCTGGCAGGACTCTCAGTGGACCATGTAGAGGGAATTGAACCCAGGTTCCTTGAACCTTCAAGGAAACTGCCCTACCTGCTGTACTATGTCTATGACCCAAAATTAAACATAGTTTGAAAAGGAAAATTCTTATAGAGTAGTTGAGGTAAAATGAACTGTAGAGTGGTAAATAAAACTAATTATTCTGCTCTTAATTCTCCAGACAAGGAGCAGTTTAAAAATGACCATTTCTCCCTGAGATCTCATTAGTCACTTGAGACTAATGAGATAACATGAGATAATACAGCATTGACCAAAGAATAATTGCTACTTTACTATATAATATCATATTTTATTAATTATATAACAATGTATGACTACTGAACTGGTTTTCAAGTGGAATTTTAATAAGATACCAGGAGTCAGTTAAATTAGTGAGTAGGTTGGAGTGCATACTTTGCATGCTGAAAGCCCAGGTTTGATCCCTGACACATAAAGTCCCCCAAGAACTAAAAAAGGAATGAGCTTGGAACACCAAGTCAGAGTGATCAAAGAACAAACAACAACAAAAACAAAAAATGAAGGCTTCCTTCATACCTGGAATCAAATTTGAGGAGAGAGATTGTCCAGTTGGAAGATGGGAGATTGCTTGGTTATTTTCATATTGAGAAACAGAAACAGGAGGTTTCTTTAAAGCTAAAAGGGAAAAATAGATCTGTATTTATATTGACAGTAATATATACTAATCCTAAAATACTCTAATTTTACAATCCTTATCGCTGGCATATTGACTAATTTATGGTGACTGATACATTTTTGTGCTCAATAAATCTGGCTAGAATATAAGCTTTAGGGACACGAAAAACTCTGTCCTGTTCACCACTATATCCCCTATCCCCAGAATAATGCCTGACACAAAACAGTAACTCAACAAAGACAGAATGAATGAATGAATGAATCACTTCAGACATAGTGATTTTCAACAGTACAACCTTTAAGCTTATTGTCACTGTCACTGTCCCCCGTTGTTCATTGATTTCCGGGCCCAGTAACATTGTGAGACTTGTTACTGTGTTTGGAATATCGAATATGTCACAGGTAGCTTGCCAAGCTTTGCCGTGCGGGCGAGATACCCTTGGTAGCTTGCCAGGCTCTCGAGAGGGGCAGAGGAATCGAACTCGGGTTGGCCATGTTGGCTGCGTGCAAGGCAAACGCCCTACCCGCTGTGCTTTCGCTCCAGCCCTTAAACTTATTACAGAAGACAAATAAAATTTGACATTTACAGATTAGATGAAGCAACGACAACACACTACTCTATGCTGCTCAGGTTTTAAATATTAAATGTGACATGCTACAAGTTGAAATTTTAGTTCTAAAGAGGAAGAATTTTAAGTTTTGCACAAAAGGCATTACTAACAAAGATGTATTATTATCTTCCTAACAAAAATCAAGGCAAGGGTGGGTTATAGCTCCAGTGATAGAGCACACACATGGCATGTGAAAGGAGTTGTTTCATTTCCAGCATTGCATGTCCCCCTACCCCCTACCTGCTATCCCCTCAGAATCGCCAGAGCAGCCCAGTGGCCCCAGCTGTCTGGCTGGCCATTTCTGATAGTGCCCCATAACCGCTCCTAACACCATTGGGTGTGCCTTCAATTAAAAAATGGGGGACACAGAGAAATCATATAGCAGATAAGGCAATTGTTCTGTTTGAGAGCTATTGGGAGTCTGCAGATGTGGGACCTAGCTCCACATAAAGATTCTATGTTAAATAAAGGATTTCCTTACAGGAATGAAAAAGCAAGAAAAAAGAAGAAGCACTGCCTTGATCATTTGTTCATATAATACCTCTGCTTATTTTATAGGAAACAGCAGAGTTGAGTATTGTCTACAAGCTTAAAATATGCACTATTGGCCGTGTTGAGAAAAAGTTCTCAGGGATGGAGAGATGACTCAAGAGACTGAACATGTGGTGTTCAGTGCTTTCCACAGCATGCTTTCCAGATGCAATGTGGGGGTCCTTCCAGGGAGGGCTGGCACAGTCACACTGACAGTAGCTCAGGATGAATTGGTGATCAGAGTTGTGGGGCAGTGCTTCAGAGATGGTACATTTCAGGAGCAGCAACTTCTTGCACATGTAAGAGAGCATGGAGGAAAACTCAAAAATCTGTCCTTCCCACAAAAGTAATTTTCTAGTTTGCAGATTCTCTTCATAGTTGATGACAGTTTTTCCATTTTCTGTATGACTTGTAATTTGGCCAAATCATTCAGACTTGCCTGCAGTTCTTCAGAAAACACCTTCAGCTCCAGGGTATATTCTGGAAAATGGCATTTCCGCATTTTCAATGGAAACCAGGCTGTCTCCCTCTAATTCTATCTTGTTTTATCCACTAATTTTCAGATTATTATCCCATTTGCTCTAATACCCATCCTTGAGAGTTTCCCATTTTAGAAAGCTTAAGTTACACCAACTGGCAACACTGAAGTCAAATTTTCTTTTTGCTTTGTTTCTGGGACACAATTCACAGTGGTGCTCAGAGGCTACGGCCAATTCTGAAGACTGCTCGCAGTGGTGCTTGGGGAACCATGCAGTGGCCCCAAGATGATCAAACATGGCCTTCGGGCATGTGAAGCATGTGTTTTCCATCCTCTGAGCTTTCTCTTCAGTCCCTCCTTGATTTTTCTTGCTCTCACAGATAAGGCAGATTTTCTGGGCATTTTACTTCCAAGAGTCTTTATTTTCATAATAAAGAGATTCCACCAAGAGATTCCAGGAAAGAGGCTCATAGTAATGATTCAATTAAATTATTTTTTCTTTTGGGCTATCCAAAAGAGCCTTCCAAAATAAAATAAAATAATTCTTAAAAATTAGTAAGAAAAAATAGCAATTCAATTTAAGTACAGGAAAAAAGATGATCAGGTACTTCTGTATTTCAAGAAAGGTAGCAACTGAAACAGCCAATAACTAAATAAAGAGATGCTTAATATCACTAGTCCCAAGGCAAAGTCAAGTTAAAGTAAGACACTATTTCATAAATATTACAATGGCATGGGACTGGAGTGACAGAACAGCAGGTAGGGCGTTTGCCTTGCATGCAAGAATTGAAGACCCAGCTTCAATTTTTGGCATCCTATATAGTTCCCCCAGCACTGCCACAAGTAATTCCTGAATGAGGAGTCAGAAGTAACCCCAGACCACAGCTGAGTGCGCCCCCCCAAGTCTATAAGTAGTATATATATAATATACTATTCATATATTATATAACATACTATGTTATATAATTATGTATAATATATTATGTGGGCTGGAGCGATAGCATAGCTGGTAGGGTGTTTGCCTTGCACATGGCCGACCCAGGTTCGATTCCTCCACCCCTCTTGGAGAGCCCAGCAAGCTACTGAGGGTATTCTGCCTGCAGCAAAGCCTGGCAAGCTACCCGTGATGTATTTGATATGCCAAAAAAAAGAAAAAAAAAAGCAACAAGTCTCACAATGGAGACATTATGGTGCCCGCTCGAGCAAATTGATGAACAACGGGAGGAGAGTGATAGTGATAATATATTATGTATTATATAATATATATGCATATATATATGTATATATATTAGTAAAGTAAGTAAAGGCCCTCCCGTTGATCGTCGATTTGCTCGAGCGGGCCCAGTAACGTCTCCATTGGAGACTTTGTTGTTACTGTGTCTGGCATATCGATTCGATATATATATTACAATGGCAAAAAGTTAAAGTACAGAAAACCTGGATGTAACTGAGAATATAAACAGAAACTAGAGGGCAGAGCAATAGTATAGTGGGTAAGGAATTTGCTTTGCAAGTTCTGGACAAAGTTGGGTTCGATTCCCAGCATCCCTCATGGTCCCCTGAGGACTACTAGGAGTGATTCCTGAGGGTGAAGCCAGGAATATCCCCTGAGCAATCACTGGTATGGCCCCAAAATAAAAGAAAACAGAACCCCAAAAAAACTATCTTATATTACTAGAAGAGTAAACTGATAGAAGTGTGAAGCTGAAGATACTCCGTCAAGCAGGAATCTACTTTCAATTCCATATTGTTGTAGACAGCTTTAGAAATAATGTCCTGAGAATTGTTTATAGGTCATCAGTATGTAGAGTTCAAGATATCCTCAAGATGTGACTCAATAGTAGTATAACTTCCTTGTGTTTGTGTGTGAAGCCCCAGATTTGATTCCTAGTACCACAAAATTTTAAAAAAAAAGAGTTCCTCAAACCTCAAAGACTGGGTGGGTGGGTCTAAGTGAGTGCTAAATCCCTAGTCTCAGCAGCACCCTCACCTTCTCAATAACCTCAAAGAGAAGTTTCTGGAAACTCAGATGTGTAGAAGACATACACAAGAATAGTCAGTAGGGGCCAAAGAAATAGTACAGTGGTTAGGATATTTGTCTCGCACGCAGTTAACTGTTCAATCCCCAGCATCTCATACAATCCACCAAGCACTGCCAGGACTAATTCCTAAGCTCAGAGCCAGGAGTAACCCCTGAGCCTCAATGGGTGTGGACCCAAAACAAAAAACAAAAACAATGAAAGAAGGGTCACTATAGCCTGAGAACAGATGACTGGTTAAAGAAACCTTGGTACATCTACACAATGGAATACTATGCAGCTGTTAGAAAAGATGAAGTCATGAAATTTACATACAAGTGGTTCTACGTGGAAAGTATCATGCTAAGTGAAATGAGCCAGAAAGAAAGCGACAGACATAGAAAGACTGTACTCATCTTATGGGGAATATAAAGTAACATAATGGGAGTTGAACACCCAAGAATAGTTGAGATAAGTACCAGAAGGTCTGCTCCAGGGCTTGTAAGCTGGCAGCACATGCTGGGGAAAAAGGTAGCTCAGATAGAGAAGGGAACACCAAGTAAAGGATGTTTGGAGGACTCACTCGGGATGCGAGATGTGTGCTGAAAGTAGACTATAGACGGAACACGATGACCACTCAATACGTCTATTGCAAACTACAAGGCGCTGCAGGAAAGAGTGAGCAAAAGGGAATGCCCTGCCATAGAGGTGGGGTGGGTTCGGGGTATGGGATTTGGGGATGGGAGGGCTACTAGGATCAGTGGTGGTGGAGAATGGGCACTGGTGGAGGGATGGGTACTCGATCACTGTATAACTGAAATCCAAGCATGAAAGTTTGTAAGTCTACAACTGTATCTCATGGTGTTTCACTAATGAAAATAAACGGGAAAAAATAAGATTAAAAAAAATTAAAAAAAGAAAAAGAAAAAAGGGCCACTATAGTATTATTTGAAACAGCATAAAAATCAGGAAAAGCCTAATTGTTTATTATATATGCACATATGAATTATAGTATATTGAAATAATTGCAAATGTTTAAGAAGTCTCAGGAGCATAATACTGAGGAGGAAAAATTAAGTTCTAAAATAATACACAACAAAACATTATTTAAAGTTTAAAGCAGTATAGAAATCAATACTTTATGGTTTTTTAGCTGCTTACAAATGCAGTAAAAAATCCACAAACATACAGATCAATATAAACCAATCTCAGCACAGTAGTTACCTCTACGGAGGAAAAAGACTAGCATGGTGTTGTCTGGAGACATATGGAGGTTCTAACGTATACAGAATGTTTTATTAATCTAACAATAACATGAGAAACATCTGAAACAAATATGGAAAAATGTTACACTATTTGGGGGTTTTATATTTTGGAGGGGTCAGCAAAACCTCTATGCTTTCCTATCTTTGGAATGTCTCTTCATCTTAAAAGGTTTAAAAGCAAGCAACAGGGGGTATGGTGCCACCAGTAGGTTAATCTGTACCTGTGAGGCGAGTGCATCAACAGCCTGATGGCATCTTCAGACTTCCAGATACCCCAAAATTGCTGCTGTGCCTTTGGCCAGACCACAAAAGCTTGGGGCAAAGTTTACCAAGAAAGTAAACGGCCAAAAGTTAGAGAGGTATGTGGGAGACACACCCACAAACCACCTCCGGCTCAGCTATATAACTGGAGGCATGGCCTCTCTGATTCCTAATCGAACTGCTTAACGGCCATGATCCCAGAGACTCAGAAACAAATCTCAGAACCCAGTGGCTTTTGGCAGAAATGCATCCGGTCCCTGCAGCAGGTTACTGGCACCAGGCCACCCCAGGTGGGAAAAAGTTTCATGCCTTGTCCTATTCCCCCTGGCGGCTCAGTGGCCGTCATCCTCCAGAGGACACTGGACAGTCAGGTTTGGGCCCATAATGATGAGATATGTGGGGCCTCACAGGATGAGGGTGGAGCCAGCCCTTTTCATCCCGTCCCAATGAGACTCCGAGTTGCCGCCCACAAATGGCCACTCTGGCTCCTGATCAGACTGCTTACTGGCCATGATCCCAGAGACTCAGAAACAAATCTTGAAACCCAGCGGCTTTTGGCAGAAATGTGTCCGGACCGCACAGTAGGTTATTGTCGTCTGGCCACCCCAGGGGGGAAAGGGTGCTGTCTCTCCACCTGCTCCCCCTTGGCGGCCAGAGGCCATTAGACAGTCATATGCAGGGTCTCACGGGATGGGGGTGGAGCTGGTCCTTTATTCCCCACCCCAACAAGACCCCGAGTTGCCGCCCATGAACGACCTCTCTGGCTCGTGATCAAACTGCTTAACGGCCATGATCCCAGAGACTCAGAAACAAATCTTGAAACCCAGCGGCTTTTGGCAGAAATGCATCCAGTCCCTGCAGAAGATTACAGGCGCTGGGCCACCCCAGGTGGGAATAGGTTTCGTGCCTTGGCCTGTTCCCCCTGGCAGCCTCGTGGCCGCCATCCTCCAGAGGCCACTAGACAATCAGGTGTGGTTCTGCAGTGATGAGACATGTGGGGCCTCACAGGATGGGGGTGGAGCCAGCCCTTTCCTCCCCACCCTAACGAGACCCCAAGTCGCCGCCCACAAACAGCCTCTCTGGCTCCCAATCAAGCTGCTTAACGGCCATGATCCCAGAGACCCAGAAACAAATCTCAGAACCCAGTGACTTTTGGCAGAAATGATATCTGGACCCGCAGTAGGTTACTGTTGCTGGGCCAGCCCAGGGGGGAAAGAGTGCTGTCCCTCCACCTGCTCCCCCTAGGCAGCTCGGTGGCTGTCATCCTCCAGAGGCCACTGGACAATCAGGTTTGGGCCCTCAGTGACGAGACATACGGGGCCTCACGGGATGAGGGTGGAGCCGGCCCTTTCCTCTCCATCCCAACAAGTCACCACCAGCCCTTTCCTCTCTGTCCCCAAGTCACCGCCCATTAACAGCCTCTCTGGCTCCTGATAAAGCTGCTTAAGGAGTATACTGGGGTTTTTGGGGGTGGAGAATGGGCACTGGTGAAGGTACGGGTGTTTCACTGTATGACCGATACTTAAACCCGAAAGCTTTGTAACTGCTCTGATTCAATAAATGAACTTATAAAAAATGAAAAAAAAAGCAAAAAAAATTAGAACAACACACATTATTATTATTATTTTGGTATTTGGACCATACCCAGGGAAGATAAGGACTTATCTTTCTATGCATTCAGGGATCACTTGTGGTGGGATTTGGGTAACCATATTGTATGCCATGGACTGAACCTAGGTCAGTGATGTGCAACACAAGAGCCTACCCACTGTACTATTGCTCTGGACTGATTTGTGTTTATAATTTCCTTTTTTCTATTTACTTTGGCTTTGTGGTTCTGTTTCTAGTTACTTAGAGGTAAAATTAGGCCGTTTTTTCTTGTTTGATGCTGAAAGTCTGAATTGCTATTAAATTCCCTCAGTATAGTATGTAGCTTTTGTTATATTCCGTGTGTTCCAGCAGCTCATGTCTTCAATCTCATTTGTTCCTAGGAGTCTTAATTTGTTGTTTGATTTCTTCTTTGATCCAGTGGTTGTTCAATAGTATGTTGTTTAGTTTTCAAAAGCTTGTTATTTCCCTCAGCTATATTTTCATAGAAAAAATATTTATAGCATTTTGATCAGATAAGATACTTGATCTGACTTCTATCTTCATCATTTTTTTTTGTTCTTAGGCCAAACCTGGCAGTGCTCAGGACCCACTCCTGGCTGTGCTCGAGGATCAATTCTGGCAGGCTTGGGGGACCATATGGGGTTCCTGGGATCAAATCCACACCGGCTACATGCAAGGCAAATGCCCTACCCACTGTATTATCTCTCTGGTCCCTCTATCTTCATGACTTCTGGATATAATTGTCTCGTATCCGAACATGCTGTCTATCTCTGACAATGTACCATGTGTACTGAAGAAGAAGAATTTGACTTGGCTTTTGTAAAAAATACTATACACGTCAAAAAAGCAAAACTGCTCTATTTCTTAATTTGAGCCCATTTTTTTCATTATTTTTGTTTGTTTGTTTTATCAATTTGTTTAGGGGGAGTGCTAAAATCTATTATTCTGTTAATATATTTCCTCTGTACTTTTAATAGTTGCTTCAATAGAGTAGAGGCCATATACAACAAACCCACAACTAATGTATTCAAAGTGAAAAATCCTTACTTACCCGTGGGAAGATCTTCAACTTTTGCAATGTCATTCTCTTCTATTCCAGGCATTCCTGCATCACCTCCCCGTTTGATCTGATCTACTCAAGCAACAGAAGATAAAATATATTTCTCCTTAGACAAGTTGAAAATTGCTTAAAAAAATCAGCTTCTAAAGTTACTGGCAATGGGAGACCACTTTGGGCATACTTACAACTAAAAGACAACTCACTACTTGGTTTTGCGCCACACCAGGTGAAGCTCAGGGGTTTCTATACTCTGGGATCACTCCTGGTAATGCTCAGGAGTTTCTATACTCTGGGATCACTCCTGGAAATGCTCACGGGACCATAGAGGACGTGACTGGCTGTATGCAATGCAAGCATCTTACCCACAATCTCTCTGGTCTCCCACAATTCACTATGTATCAAAAGCTCCAAATTATAAACAGAACAATATGAGCCTATGGAAATTACATATATATGTATATATACATACATATTTTTCATTCATATTTGTTTCTATATATGTACATATACATATATATTTAGGGGACAATGTAGTGCTGGGGATCAAACCAAGGCCTCACAAATGTAAAGCATGCAATCTAGCCTTCTGAGCTGTCTCACCAGCCTTCAGGCAGTATTTTTTTATGAAAGAAAACTATTTACTTCAAAAGGAGAAAAGGAAAGTCGGTATCTTATTAACACAAAACAAAATCATAGTAATACCTTTCCCTTGTGAAGCATGATTGCTTGAGGGTTCTTCATTCTTATCTGCAACACTCTCAGCTTGTTTTTGAACATTGTTCGGTACTGCATAATTGCTTATGCCCAATTCAATTTCACCTTTTGATTGAACTTTGTGAGCCAGCTGCTGTTAGATAAAGATTTATAATGGTAAATATTTCTCAGTTGAAAACATTCAACCACGGATATGACTATAAATGGAATGTTCAGAAAGTTGTGTGTGTGTGTGTGTGTGTGTGTGTGTGTGTGACACATTTTGGTCCAAATTCCAAGCACATGGAGAAATGGAATATATATATATAAACATATATATATATTTTTAGAATATCTGATATGAAGGGTTTTGTGGGTAATTTTTTTGTTGGGTTTTTTTTTTTTTTGCTTTTTTAGGCCACACTTGGCAATGCTCGGGGGTTACTTCTAGCTCTGCACACAAGAATTACTCCTGGCAGTGCTCAGAGGACCAGTGGGATGCTGGGTTGGCCACTTGAAAGGCAAAATGCCCTACCCACTGTACTATCACTCTAGCCCCTGAGATGCCTGATATGAGGGCTTTTTTTTTTTTAAGTAATACTGTTAAAATTTCTAACTAAACAACCTAAACTATTAGACAGAGGTTATTCTCTTTGGGTGCACTGAGAGGTATAGCAGACAACATGACTGCTGAACACTGAGATTGCTGTGGAAGCCCATCATCAGGCATGTTCTAGGAACTGCAGGTACAGTGGCTCTCTGTAGGCACAGGTTAGGACTGAAGAAGATGGCAGAAAGCAGGAGGCACATGGAGCCACTCCACACACCCCCACCCCAACCACCAAATGTGAGAGATGACAAATGACATTGTCACCCAAGCAGAAACACCAAAAGGAGAAAACAAGCAAACTTCCTCCCATGTACATTGGCACCACTGCATAGTTAGTAAAGGAGATAACATACAGGCCCAGATTTCTTCCAACCTGTTCTAATCACATCAGCTCCTAGGGCAATTCATGGAAACTGAAATGGTTATACCTACCATTCTATTGATGAAGCAGTTTTTTCTTATATTGGTAAGTCATCTCTGGAAAATCGTCAAGGAGATAAGAACTCAAGCGCAGTGCTTGGGTGGCCATATGTGTACTTCTACTTACTATTATTTCATGCATGTATAAATGTCTTGTAGACGCTAAAGCACTATGAAAATTATTAGAAATGTTATAGAAATGATAGTGCTAAAATTTTACTAGAAATCAAAAAAAAAGAAACCAAAGTTTTAAGACGTTGTCACTATAAGACTGGAGAGATAGTTCAATCCTATCCTTTATATACTGGAGGCCCAAGTTCTATCCCTGGCACCATGAGGTCCACCAAGCATTAGCAGTGACCCTGTGCACAATGATCCAGGAGTAGCACAGTCATGAGGGTGGCCCAAATATTAAAAAATACAACAACAGTAACAAAACACTTTTTAATAATTTGTCATACAGGGGCCGAGCCATAATACAGTGGGCAGGGCATTTGCCTTACATACAGCCGACCCAGGTTCGATCCCTGGAATCCCATATGGTCCCCCACTGCCAGGAGTGATTCCTGAGTTCAGAACCAGGAGTAACCCCTGAGCATAGCTGGGTGTGACCCAAAAAGTGAAAAAAAAATTGTCATACACACACTGATGGCAGTATTTTTGACAGACGGGTGGCAATATTTCAATGTACCTGGCAGATAAAATAGACAAACTTTTCTGTGAGTCACAGTTTATAGTTGCCTTCAAAAATATTCTCTTTATAGACAGGTAAACAATTCTGAGGAAAAATAAAATAATACTATTACTTAAAAATACGGCTTTTCCAAGATCACAAAGCTCAAATATTGTGAAGAAAGGATTCAAACAATTGTCATTTTCATTCCCACATTCTCTGAAACCTTAAACTTGACTCAATTCTAAGAATTTTTGTGTGTGGAGAGAGGAGGTTGGTCACTAACCCCAGTTCTCTACTGGTGGTCACTCCTCACTGTGTTTAGGGGACCATACAGTGTCAGGGATTGGACATAGACTCACACATGTAAAGCAAGCATTCAGCCAGTTGAGCTATTTCTCCAGTCCTCTGAGGACTTAAGTGTTGGTTAATGAAAGTAATGGATAGTTAGTATAAAAAACTGACTCACTATAATGAAAGACCATTTCTATAATATTTTGGTTTTATAGCTGTGGATAAGACAATAAATAAGTCAGCAAACAACCGCTCAAAAATGCTATTCCACATTATTTTTTGGGTGGGGGTTAGACCAGTGTACTTCCTAGTTCTTGTGCTCGAGTCACTCCTAGCAGGGTTCAAGTCTGGATCAGTGGTGTGCAAGGCAAATGCCCTACCTGCTGTACTATTGCTCCAGCCCCCATAATAATCCACTTTAAAGAGTTAGCAAAGATGCCATTCCTATGATATAGTAAAACCTTTATGAAAATGGGCAACATTAAAAAAATATTTTTTGTTTGCTTTTGGGTAATACTTAGTGGTGCTCAGGGCTTACTCCTGGTTCGATGCTCCGGGATCACTTTTGGCAGTGCTCAGGTAACAACGTGATGCTGGAGATAGAACTCAGGTCTGCTGAATGTAAGGTTACGTACTTTACCCATTTTATTATCTCTCTAATCAATACTAAATTTTCTTTCTTTTTAATTTTTTTTTTCTTTTTGAGTCACACCTGGCGATGCACAGGGGTTACTCCTGGTTCTGCACTCAGGAATTACTCCTGGCAGTGCTCGGGGGACCATATGGGATGCTGAGGATCAAACCCAGGTTGACCACTAGCAAGGCAATTGCCCTACCCATTGTACTATCGCTCCAGCCCAATATTAAATGTTCTTAATAAAATAAGATGGCAACCTAGAGGCAATGCCAGCAATTTGTTAAGAAACATTTTTTTTTAAATTAGGTGGGTGGTTCTAACCCAGGGTCTCACATATGTAAGAGGCATGTGTGTTAAGTCTGAGCACATGCCAGGTCCCATTTAACTGCTTTTTTCAATTTATTAAAAAGAATTTTTTTCTTTTTGGTTTTGGAGTCACATCTAGCAGTGCACAGGATTTATTTCTGGTTCTGTAGATCATGTGGGATACTAGAGATTAAACCTGGGTCAGCAACATGCAAGGCAAGTGCCCTACTCACTGTACTCTCTCTTCCTCCCTAATTGTGGTGATTCTGAGGTGGTTTTTTTGGGTAGGAGGGGCAAACCCAGCAAAGCTCATGGGTTACTGCTGACTTTGTGTTCAGGAATTACTTTTGGCAGTGCTTGGGGAACCATATGTGATGCTAGGGACTGAGCCTGGGTTGTCAAGTGCGAGGCAAATGCCCTACCCATTGTACTACCCCTCTAAATTGTATTTTAAATAACCTTTAAATTGTATTTTAAATAACTTTTTATCCTGAAATAGCTTTAGATTTAAAGAAAAGTAACTGTCTTTCACCAAGTTTCCCTTAACACTAGCATCTTACATGGCATCGTATGCTTGCAAAACTAAGAAACCAACATAAGTACACTGTTATTAACTAAACTCCAGACTTTATTTATATGTCACCATTTTTTCCATTAAGTCTTCTCTCTGTTCCAGGATCCAATTCAGGATACTACAATGCACAATCCTTAGTCTCCTCAGGTCTTTAGTAATTTCTCTTCCTTTGTAGTAAAAAGCAGTAAATAAATAAATATGTCTGTGTTCCAATAAATCCAACATATAGAGTAAAATTAGAATTTCTTATTATTTTCCTGTATCATATTCTTTTGATTTTTAAATTATTTAAAATGTTTAAAACCAGGTCTCACTCATGGGGCAGTACAAGAACAGGTATCCAGTTAGACTTGGTGGGCCCAAGTGATAGTACAGCTGGTAGAGCACTTGTCTTGCACAAAGCTGACTCAGGTTCAATCACTGGCATCCCATGTGGCCCCTGAGGACTGCCAGGAGTAATTCCTGAGTGCAAAGTCAAGAGTAACTCCGAGCATCATTGGTATAGCCCCCAACACCACCCCACCACCACCAAAAAGAAACCCAAAACAAAATTGGGTATTGTTTTCTGACTTCTTCCAGAGTTAATCTTGTTTTGTTTTGTGCCACCTCCAGGAGTGTTTAGGGCTTACTCCTGGCTTTGTGCTCTAAGACAGAGCACTCCTGGCAGCCTTGTGGGACAAAATGGAGTGCCCAGGGATCAAACCAGAGTCAGCTGCATGCATGGCAAACGCCCTGTGGGCTTCACTACTGCTCTAGTCTCTCCTCCAGAGTTTATTTCTAAGCAGGCATATGCCTGGCTTGAAAAAACAAAGATGACTAGAAACAATTTGTTTGTTTCATATAACTAACACTGTGTTTGTTCGTATGGAAAAAAACCCTCAACTTTGAAAGAACCAACTTATAATAGTACATGTGAAGATTATGGTAAAGCAAGGTTAGGGGCTAGTGGGTTATCATAGAATGAAGTTAATTCTCTACACATGTTTTACCTTGTTCCATTTATAACAGGACAGAGGCAAATGAAAATGAAGAGGATGTTAGTTAATTAATAAAACAATCACTATAAAAGAGAAAAAAAAGAACTAGACTTGTTTGCTCTTTGAGAGAATGAAAGACAGCAAATTAATCCCATTACTTACATATAGACCATGGACTAACACAATTGCAAGAGCATATCTCTCTTTTCCTTCCTTCTGTGCTCTGCTATGCTGCTCTTTTGTCCAGTGTTGTCAGTCCTATCTTGGCCGCCCCCAACTATGCTGCTCTGACCGTTCACTTAGGCCTGTGGTCTTTCAGTTATCTGGCCTCAGATTTCTCCAAGAGAGGAATCTGTTCCACTTTGAAGATTCAAAAATTTAAATAGAGGAACATCTCTTAATCCCTGATGCTACAGCTAAGAACTTTTAGATGAATTGCTACCAAACAGCAAGATAATTTTTTTCTTTTTTTGCATTTTGGGTTACACTCCGCGATGCACAGGGGTTACTCCTGGTTCTGCACACAGGAATTACTCCTGGCGGTGTTTGGGGGTCCATATGAGATGCCGGGAATTGAACCTGGGTCAGCTGCGTGCAAGACAAACGTCCTACCCGCTGTACTATCGCTCCAGCCCCAGCAAGAGCTCCCCGTGACATATTTGATATGCCAAACACAGTAACAACAAAGTCTCCAATGGAGATGTTACTGGGCCCGCTTGAGCAAAATTTTTCACTACTCAATTTATATTTACTTTAAATCACAAGCCTATATAAACCAAGAGTAGTCAGATGAGATCATAGGATATTAAAAAAAAATAAAACTCAAGTCCCAATAGCTAGCAATCTTTAAACTTCCTTTATAACAGAATGAGAAACCTCAATGAGCTCATTGAGGTTTCTCGGGAGTTCAAGATGCCGCTCTGCTTAACGTTCATTGATTTAAAGAAGGCCTTTGATTCTGTTGAGACAGAAGCGGTCATTGAAGCCCTAGCCAATCAGGGCATTCAAGCCCAATACATCAGGATCCTCCGTGAGCTGTATTGCGGATTCACTACCAGGATCTCACCATTCTACAAAGAAGTGATCGTTGATGTCAAGAGAGGGGTGCGGCAGGGTGATACCATTTCACCGAAACTCTTCAGTGCCACCCTCGAGAACATCATGCGACGACTGGACTGGGAAGGAATGGGAGTGAAGATAGATGGTCGGCAACTACACCACCTCCGCTTTGCTGATGACATTGTTTTAATAACACCAAACATCAGCCAAGCGGCACAAATGCTGGCCGACTTTGACCGTGAGTGTGGAAAGGTAGGACTACAGCTGAATCTTACAAAGACAATGTTTATGAGAAACAGCCTTGTTCCTGACGCCCCATTCGCTCTCAATGGAACGACCATCTCCGAATGCAACAGCTATGTGTACCTAGGTCGAGAGGTCAACATGACAAATGACCTGGCACCCGAGCTGCGCAGGAGGAAGAGAGCGGCTTGGAACGCCTTCAAGAACGTCGAAGAAATAGCTAAGAGGACGAAGAACCTCCGGCTCCGGGCACATCTCTTTGATTCCACTGTTCTTCCTGCATTAACATATGCCTCAGAGACCTGGGCCCTACGCAAACAAGATGAGAACGCCATTCAGGTCTCCCAAAGAAGAATAGAAAGAGCTATGCTTGGAATATCACGTTTCACTCAAATGAGAGAACGAATCCGGAGTTCTGACATCCGTCGACGATCAAGGATCAGGGACGCTGTCTCATATGCCAAGGTGTCGAAAATCAGATGGGCTGGTCACGTAATGAGATTTAAAGACGACCGTTGGACTAGAGCTGTTACTGATTGGATTCCACGGGACGTCAAGAGACCGCGTGGCCGCCCACCTACCAGATGGTCAGACTTCTTTGTCAAGATCATGAACGATCGGTTTGAGGCCCTCCATGTTCCCGGAGCGAAGAGATGCCATTGGGCTACACTAGCACGCGACAGGGACAAATGGAGACGTTACTGGCGCCCGCTCGAGCAAATCGACGACTAACAGGAAGTTAAGTGAAGTGATTATAACAGAATCTTCATAATATCTATCAATTGAAACTGAATAAACTAATAAAAGAATTTACCATTTCCCAAACTATGCTACAGTAGTATTTTGTTTCAAAAAGTAGTTCAGAATAACAAAAACAAATGATACTTAAGAAAATTTTTTCAATTTAAAAAAAAAAATTCTCAAAAGCATAAAAATAGGAAAAAAATTTACGATGAAAAATTTTTTGTGGGCCGGAGTGATAGTACAGTGGTTAGGGCATTTGCCTTGCACATGGCTGAACCAGGTTTGATTCCCCAACATCCCATGTGGTCCCCGGAGCACCGCCAGGAGTAATTCCTGACTGCAGAGCCAGGAGTAACCCCTGAGCATCGTTGGGTGTGACCCAAAAAGAAAAAAAAAAGAATTTTGTTAAAATGCTATTCACTTTACAATCTGAGAAATATTAACTGCAGATTTTCAAAAGTCATGTATAAAAGATGTTTAGCTCAAAATTAAAATAAAATCTGAGGCTTTATTTTCATGTAAGTATAATTTGTAAATAAAACCATTGTGTTTTTTTCCACTCGAAAAGTTCATGATTTCTCTTGAATATGTCTCTTTCTCCCTGCTCACATCTCTCTAATTTTTTTCAAATTTTTTTTGCAAAAAAACAACCCCAAATAAAATATATACACATATATGTATGTTATATGCATATGTATACATATATATTTAAAAACACAAGTTAGTTTTAGACTGAGGCAACCTAGATAGTAATACATTTTTACAATGAAAGTTTCCAAGATTGGTTAGAAAACACACTTTACTTTTAAAATTGAATTTATTTATTATGATTATCTTCTGTTTTTGTTTTTTTGCCAAACCCAGGAGTACTCAGGGCTTACTCTGGGCTCTGTGCTCAGGGATCACTCCCAGGGAGGTTTAGAAAATAGTGGAAGTGCCAGAGATAAACCTGGTTGAGCCATATGCAAGGCAAAGTGCCCTACCAAGTGTACTATTGTTCCAGCGTAGATGATCTAAGTATTTTAAACATTTACCTTTTGTTCCTGCAAAAACTGGTCAGCTAATTTTTTAATATTTTCTTCATGTTGTGCTCTTAATTCCTTGATTTGTTGTCCACACTGAAAGCTAAATAAGAAAGTCAATCTTTTAGATTTATTATCTTATAATGCACACTCAAGTTGTCTAGAAATCAATGTATATTTACAAAGAAAAAGGATTTTATTAGCAGCAAAGTGGACATTAAAAAGTAGATCACAGTGAAGAATATTGAAAATTTCTGTACATGTAATGGAGAATAAAAAATACTTAAAGGCAAATTTAATAAAAACATTAAATGAAAACAATTATTTTAAAAATTACTTTTATAAATTGCATTTATAAAGAAAGAATTGCCAAAGTCAACTTCAATCATTAAGAGAAAATCACTTTAAAAAACAGACAGATAATGATGGTGAGAAGATGTAAGGTGGTGGGATCGGTGTTGGAATATTGAATGTAATAAATTATTGTGAACAACTCTCTAAAAATTAAAATTAAAAAAGAAACAAAACTGAGACAGATACAATCTAGTCAGAGATGAGAAGAGTCAGAATATAAGAGCTAATAAGGAAGAGCAGCAAATGTTTCACCCAACATTATTAAACACAGTAATAAAAGGCTAAACCATATGAAGAGTACAAATGGAATAAAAAATAGAGAAGACACAAAGTTTTCATTAAGAAAAAAATGTCAAAGATTAAAACATATAAGGATTGTAAATTTTCACTGGTCATGCAATCATATCAATTCATGTGAGAAAAAACTGTTAAACACAATACGAAATACTATTTTTCACTATTAAAAGTGGAAATCAAATATCCTATTTGCTTATATAAATTAAAATTAATATTTATTTAATGCCAGAAAAATTAAGTTAGAAATTTGGTGGGGCTCTGGAGAAACATCTGCAATATAAGCAAATACAATAATTTTTTTCTTTTTGTGGGGAGGGTTTAGGGCCTGGTGGTGCTCAGAAATTACATGAATGGCGGGCTTGGGGGACCACATGGGGTGCTGGGGATTGAACCTGGGTTGGCTGCAAAGCAAATACCCTACCCACTCTGGCCCCAAGTCAATACAATAATTTTGATAAGCAAACTTTCATGTGTATGGTAAGAGGATAAAAATCCCTAATAAAAAATTGTCTCACAAATTCCATGTTTGAAAATATGAGCCAGTGAAATTAAGAGTGAACAAATTCTCTCTTTTTTTGATTTTTTTGGATCATACCCAGAAGTGCTCAGCACTTACTCCTAGATATGTGCCATTCCATCTGGAGTCTTTCCTAACAAGGTTCAAGAAACCATATAGGGTGCAGAGGACTGAACTTGGGTCAGGTGTATTCAAGGAAAGCACCATTCCTGATATACCTCTAGCCCCAATTCTTTTTATTTTTATAGTTGATAAATTATTATGTGAGAAAGAAAAACTATGATGTTCTAGCTTTGAGGTGAGATTAAATTAAGAGTTCATGAGTTATTTGTCAGAAAAATATCTTTAAATATTTTCAATTTTCATCCCTACAGGTAAATGGAAAAGTATTAAATACTGTTAGATTGAAATTCATGCTTTAAAATAAGATAAGGACCAAAAATGCAGTTCAGTGGTAGAAAATTGCTTTGGATATACAAAGACCTGGGTACAATTTCCAGAATTATCAAAAGTAGAGTATGGCAAATGTTTCCAGTTTTTGGTGCATAGCCTTTAAAATATTTTTTTTAACCACAAAATGAACTAAAGGTTTAAGAAAGGTTTTTAGGGGCTGGAGCAATAGCACAGCAGGTAGGGTGTTTGCCTTGTACACAGCCAACCCAGGTTTGATTCCCAGCATCCCATATGGTTCCCCTGAGCACCGCCAGGAGTAATTCCTGAGTATAGAGCCAGGAGTAACAGCTGTGCATCACCAGGTGTGACCCAAAAAGCAAAAAAAAAAAATAAAGGTTTTTAAAGAGATTATTAGAAGAGGTTTTCGTTTTATCCCAACAAGTGTAAAGGAGTAAGGAAGGGAGTTGGCTAGTCTACGGATTTTTGACCTTGTTCCATTTACAACAGGATAGAAGCACAGAGCTTGGTCCCTGTGCCTCTCTGCAGACATCTCCCAGTGACAGTTTCACCTTAAGGATGGATGCCCCTTGAAAAGAACCAAAGAATCTTTCAGTCTTTGTCATTTGTAATTCAATAAAGCTCAGGCCTTTCAGGATGTTTTGTCTAACAGTCTGTTATATGGGAAGATTCACGAAGTACTGCAAGAAAAAAATTGGGAGGAGGGGTGCACATCAGCTGTGCTTATTCCTGGCTCTGCACTCAGGGATCCATCCTGGCTGGCTTAGGGGACAATATGGGGTACTAGGGATCGAAACCAGGTCAACCACGTACAAGGCAAACACCCTACCCACTGTACTCTCCAGCCCCTACAAGAGATATTTTCTTTTTTCCTTTTTTAAAAAATTGAATCACCATGAGATACAATTACAAAGCTTTCATGTTTCAGTTTCAGTCATACAATGATTGAATACCCATCCCTCCACCAGTGCATATTTTCCACCACCAATATCCCTAGTTTCCCCCCCTGCCCCACCCAAACCCTCCCCCTGCCACAAGAGTAGCAACTTCCCCCATACTTTCTCTCTACTTTTGGACATTAAGGTTTGCAACATATTTGCTGAGAGGCTATTACATTTGGTCCTCTATCTACTTTCAGCACACAGCTCTCATCCCAAAGAGATATTTTCTTTTTTTTTTTAAATGTAGGAGTACTGCTATTTATTCAGCCACTGATTAACTGATTGAATTGGGCATGAACTTCACCTTTTTTTTCATTTTTTATAATTTTATTTATTGAATCACCATTTGAGCAGTTACAAAGTTTTCAGGTTTAAGTCTCGGTCATACAATGAAACACCCATACCTACACCAGTGCCCATTCTCCACCACCAAAAACCCCAGTATACACCCATCTCACAACCTCCCCCTACCTGTGGGGCAGATGATTTCCACATTACTCTCTCTCTCTCTCTACTTTGATTACATTCAATATTTTGACACCAGACCCAGCATTATTGTTTGGGATTTTACCCCAACACTAAGATCTGCTGAAAAGGCAACAGTAGACAATTTGTTTTCTACTGCTGGTTATGAATAACATATGATATCGTGTGGCTGCAGTAGTGGCCGCGCGATTTTGAAATTCTGAAATTTTAACAATTAAATCTGGAGGGATTTCTGCCAAAACCTGCTGGGTTTCGAGATTTGTTTCTGATCCTTTTGGATCATGGCTGTTAAGCAGCTTGATCAGGAGCCAGAAAGGCCATTAGTGGGCGGCAATTCGGAATCTCATTGGGACGGGGAGGAAAAGGCCGGCTCCACCCCCATCCCGTGAGGCCCCACATGTCTCATCACTGAGGGCCCAAACCTGACTGTCCAATAGCCTCTGGAGGATGGCGGCCATCAAGCCGCCTAGGAGGAGTAGGCAGAGGGACAGCACCCTTTCCCCCCTGGGGTGGCCTGGCGACAGTAACCTATGGCGGGGTCCGGACACATTTCTGCCAAAAGCCGCTGGGTTTCAAGATTTGTTTCTGAGTCTCTGGGATCATGGCCGTTAAGCAGCTTGATCAGGAGCCAAAGAGGCCGTTAGTGGGCGCCGATTCAGGGTCTTGTTGGGAATGGGAGGAAAGGGCCAGCTCCACCTTCATCCCGTGAGGTCCTGCGTGTCTCGTCACTGTGGACCCAAACCTGACTGTCCAGTGGCCTCTGGAGGATGGTGGCCACCAGGCTGCCAGGGGGAACAGGCCAAGGCACGAAACCTATTCCCACCTGGGGTGGCCCAGCGCCTATAACCTACTGCAGGGACTGGATGCATTTTGCCAAAAAGCCATTGGGTTTCGAGATTTGATTCTGAGTCTCTGGGATCATGGCCTTTAAGCAGTTTGATCAGGAACCAGAGAGGCCATGCCTCCAATTATAAAACTGAGCCAGAGGTGGTTTGTGGGTGTATCTCCCACATACCTAACTTTTGGCTGTTTACTTTCTTGGTTAACTTTGCCCCAAATTTTTGTGGTCTGGCCAAAGGCACAGCAGCAATTCTGGGGTATCTGGAAGTCTGCAGGCGCCATCAGGCTGCTGATGCACTCACCTCAAAGGTACAGATTGACCTGCTTGCGGCACCATACCCCCAACAAAGAGATATTTTCTTAATGTCCAAAATATCATAGTAAAAGACTATGGCTTTCAGAGAAGAACAGGAAAAAAACAAAACAAAAAACCTGAATGGGAATTTTAAAGTCCTAAGCAAAGAAAAATAGAAGTCAAAAAGGAAAAAAAATAATTGTCCAAAACTGGACAAATATTCTAGATTCACATATACTTCTTGCATGTCTTACCTCTCATATTCTAATCTCTTTACAAGGTAGGTATTGTTCTTCCTGTAGTCCTGAAGCTGATCCTCTTGTCGAAGAAACTCCTGACGAAGTTCAGCAAGTTGTTCTATCCATAGAATGTAAGAATCAAAGGAATAAAGTTTACTCTAATGTTTCCTATTGAGAGATTATAAAAATTTTAAAAATTTTATGTTGCTCAATAGTTTTTATTTATACTTGCTCAGGGAGTTACATTATATATAATTAGTACCACAGATAATTGCTTTTATAACGCATAGATAATTTTATTTTTAAAGGAGGATAAGCAAACTCATTCAAAATATTTTTAAAATTATACCTTTTTCTTATTATATAGAAACATGCTAAGTTATAGACAAAGTACAAAAAGCTATCTACACAAATAGGAACAGCCTTTTTAGATATGCTGGCTATCGGTACAGAATTCAAAGTTTCTTTTTTTTTTTTAAATCCTGTTTGAGGGCTAGAGCAAGAGTATAGTGGTAGGGCATTTGCAATGCACATAACTGACTTAGGTGCATTCTCTGGCACCCCATATGATCCCCCAAGCCCACCAGGGGTGATCCTTGAGTGCAGAGCCAGGAGTTAAGTTCTGAGCACTACTGGATGTGGTGCAAACCAATCCCCCACTACCAAAAAAATTATACATATTATAACTTTTATTATATATAAAATTATATATATATATATATATATATATATATATATATAGCACTGTAGAACTGTCCTCCTGTTGTTCAACTTTTCACTCGGGGCAGGCACCAGTAACATCTCCATTGTGAGACTTGTTGTTACTGTTTTTGGCATATCGAATATGTCGCAGGTAGTTGTCAGGCTTTGCCGTATGGGCAACATACTCTTGGTAGCTTTCTGGGCTCTCCAAGAGGGGCGGAGGAATCGAACCCGGGTCAGCCTCGTGCAAGGCAAATGCCCTACCCGCTGTGCTATATTATATTTGATTTCTAACTTAGTTGCCAACCACTTTAGATACTATGTCCACATATATCAACTCCACTTTCAAATATAATTTCTGGACTAGGGCTGAAACTTTTAGACATAATGCATATACATGAATCACAAAAAATTCCCAGCTCAAGTTTAATATAGTTTTTGTTTGTTTGTTTTTGGGCCACACTCAGTGGTACCCAGAGCTTACTCCTGGCCCTATACTCGGGCTGACTAGGGGGAATGGCTGGTGTATCAGGAATTGAACCAGGACCCATTTACTATTGCTCTGACCTCCTGAAATATAATCTAAAAGCTAGGTCTGGTACTCCTCAGGGAATATTTAATCCAAGTCACTGGTCCCATAATTTCTAGTCATTTCTCTGCATCTTGCCCTACAAATAAATGCTGCCAGGTTTAGAGATGGTCTAGGGGGTTAGGACTTGTTCCCCATACACCTTACAAAGGGCTAAAAATCAAAATACTCTAAAGAACTTACAAAATTTAGTAAAAATCCCACAACCTTATGAAAAAGAAATAATAGGAAGAGCTGAACAGACATTTCTTCAAAGAAGACTTATAGATGTCCAAAAACTTTATGAAAAAGTCTTCATCACTTATCATGAAGGAAATGTAAATCAAAACAACAATGAGACATCACATCAGTTAGACTGGCACACATAAAAAAAAAAGCAGGAACTGGGGTCAAAGAGAGTACAGTGGGTAGGGTGCTTTGCTTTTCACGCAGCTGACCCAGGTTCGATCCCCAGCATTCCATATGATTCATGGGTGCAGAGCCAGGAATGACCCATATGAAGTATCAGGTATGATCTCCCCACCTCTACCTCCTCAAAAAGAGTAAAAACAACCAGTATTGAGAGGGATGTGGGGGAAAGGGAACCTCTTGATCCACTGGTGATGGTATACTGTCTGGTTCAGCCTCTATGGAAAACCATAAGGACACTTCTTAAAAAATTATCAAATGAGTTTCGATATAGTCCAGCAATTCCATATAACCCAGCAATTCCATTTTCTGATATTTACCCCAAGAATCCAAAAACAGTTATCAAAAAGATTAAATTATGCAGTTTGCTGCTATGGAACTAGTGGAATGAACTAGGAAGTATCATGCTGAGCAAAGAGGGAGAGGGGCAAATACAGACTAATCTCTTTCATATGTGGATTATAAAGAGACATAGTAAAGGAGTAACAAAAGGCCAACGGCAGCAGGCTCTGTAAGTTGGCTACAGAACCAAACTGAATTTGGCAAGAGGGTAGGATGATGGTATGGTGAGGAGCAGTGGAACGTTGGTTGGTTGAAGGACACTGACAACTCTGATGGTGGGTTTGATATTGGAACACTCTATGCCTAACCTAAAACTTACAGTACATAATTCATTAATCAATCATAATTCATTAATCAAGGAAACGTTTTTTAAAGTTTTTAGTCATCTTCTATCAGTTCATTTAAGTGAATGTTCATACATATGCATATTTTCATGTAGTATATATGAAACAAAGAAATCTGGAAAAAACCCAGATGAGTACTGAATATATCTGGGTTTCTTTTCATTCCAAGGGGATATAAAATATTAAGTTTGGAAGATCTTTCCAAAGCACACCTAGACCCAAAAGGATTGTTTCATCAGACAGAATGTAGTAGAGGATTTTCATTTGATGACCTCTCATTTTACGGCTCAGTTTGCTTTGAAAAACTGGTTTAACAACATTTCATTTCATGAACCCCATATATTACAAAGATTAAGACACATATCTCAAATTTTAATTTGCACTTTATTATACTAATGAAACATTAAATTTTTTTATTCTACATTAAAGAATAAATGTTTTATCACAAGAGGAGTTTTGTTCAGAAACTGTTATTCATTAGCAGTAAAAATGAAGAATTTCTCTTCTTTCTTTTTCTTCTTTTGGTTTCTGGGACACAACAAGCAGTCCTCAGGGTTTATCCTCGCTCTGCACTCAGAGATAGCTTCTGGTAGGCTTGAGGGAACATATGTGGGGTCATATGTGGTTCGATCAGATCAGGGATCAAACCTGTGTCAGGTGAATGCAAGCCACGCACCCTATCCCACTGTACTATCTGTCTGGTCTCCTGAGCTTTTATATTTAACAAACTTGTTGAAATATAATTTTCTTGCAACTATTTAATGTATATAAGTTGGCAAGACGAGTGCCTCAACCCCTATACTGTTTCTCTGGTTCCAATTTCTTAATTTTGGAGGATATTTGACATTTAGAGATTTTTATCTTTCATCTGTAATTAAGTTTCTTACCTTTTAAATGATGTATGTCTGCCATCTGATATGATATGTTGTTCTGAAGTTTAACCTAAAAATATTAAGTTTACATTTTACTAAAAAATATGTAGTTTTTGCTCATATGCACATTGAGATTGAAAATAAATGCAACAGTAAAAATATGGATTAAGTTTTAATAAAAACTTTTTAAAGTTCTGGTTCAGTTTTCAGTTTTTTATGTACAGAATTTTCTATGAACATTAGTCTTCAATCTTCCTGGATAAACTCCCAGGAGGAAGACTGCTAACCTATATAAGTAAACGTTTAGTTAAAAACAAAACAAAACAGACAAATTAATTTCCAAAGTGCTATGCCGTTTTCAACTACATTTTATGAACTTATTTATGCCATAAAAATTCTGGATGGACAAATATAAAACAATTAGAAAACATGAAAGCAGTCTAAAGGACCCCGTAGGCAAGATAGCATCTAAGACAGCACAACTGGGGCTGGAGTGATAGTACAGCTGGCAGGGTGCTTGCCTTGCATGTGTCCAACGGGGATTAGATCACTGGCATCACTTATGATCCCCAAGCACCTCCAGGAGTAATTCCTGAGTATAGAGCCAGGAATAACCTCTGACATTCCTGGATATGTCTCCCTCCCCCAAAAATAAGGCAATTTAAGAAATTGGCAAAAATAAGAAATCCAAAGATGATTGCTACCTAAGTATGATCAAGGATTATTTTGAATTAAGTAGGCATTGAAAGCTATACAACTGAAAGTATAACTGAAGTTGATCTTAGTTTATAGAATGTCTTATATTGAGAGCCTTCATAATAGAGCCTTTATTTACCTTTCTAGTCTTTTTTTTTAAGACCTTCCAGGCATTGCTCAGGTCTGAGGGTCACTCCCTGTGACTTGATACCTGACCTGACAGTACAGTGCATGAGCCAGGTAACAGTGCTGCTCAAACCCAGACATACTGGGGATTACCAGAACCATCCTCGCAGTGCTTGGGAGATCATGTGGGGACGGGGACTGAATGTGGGGTCTCATGAATACTAAGCATGCACCAGCTTTTTGAACTGTCTCCTCCCCAGAATCTCTAGCCATTTTTACCATCCCCCCGCCCCCACCCCTTTCCTCTCCTTTTTAGCTGCTTGGGACCGCTTACAGTTTCTGTAATGTGAAGTGTTTTCACTTCTAAGTTTGGACACATTCCTAAAGAAGTTAAGGCTTCTACTTGGCTGAACGCTATTCTTTCTGCTGGATTTATTTCAGCTATTCTCTTTTCCAGAAGCCTCCCTTCTTTTCCCCAAGACTGCATTTAACCTTTTGCTGTGTTCTTCCATCATGTCTGTAGAAGCCAGTAACAACATTTATTTTACTATTATAACTGCCCACTTACTTGACTGTTTCTCCTAAATAATAAATTTTGTAACTGTTTTTTCATTATATTACCCCTCTCGTTTCCTTTATCATGACCATAGTGCCTTCAGGATTTTTAATTTTATTTTTCATGAAACAATTAAAAAGGAATTCGTACATCATAAAATTTAATCTCTTACCCTCTGTTCTTCCCTCTATTGCTGTTGGTGGAATGATTCAGATTCACATGTTTGGTTTATTGGTCGCCTGTACTTACATTCTGTACTTAATGTTGACTGTACTTAATGTTCTGATTGTAGTACTTACACATCTTTTTTTAGTTGCAGTGGTCACCAGAATCTCACCGTCTATCTGTACTTGCACTCCTCTGGCTGTGCACTTGAGAGTTTACGCTGTGTTGTGGTTGGTGCTGGGATTCCCAGACAGCAGAGTGGTAGGGACTGTGCTGGGGGCAGCACAAGGGACTGAACTCAAGGACTTACAATTGAAAAGCAGGTGCTTTTACCCCAACGAGCCAACTGGGACCCAAAACTCACCCTTTTAAAGTATATATTTTGGTACTTTTAGTATATTCATTATATACTTATCACAAAGTTTGGAACATTTTTAAGCACCCTGAAATGAAAATGTAGGGCCAGAGTGATAGTACTGTAGATAAGGCAGTTTCCTTTAGCATGGCCATCCTGGGTTCAATCCATGGCTTCCCATATGGTCCCGAGTCCTACAAGGAATGATCCCTGAGTGCAGAGCCAGAGTCAGTCAGTTGAATTCTGCTGGGTGTACCCCAAAACAAAACAAAATAATAAAAAATTAAATAAATAAAAAGAAAATGTATACCCTTTGAGAAGTCACTTTTTATTCAATCTCTTCAGCTTCTAGAATCTACTAAACTATCTTCTGTCTCCAAGGATTTGTCTAATCTGGACTTTAGGCAAATTGTGTATTTTGTATATAAAATATATTGCATATAAATTACATATAAATGCAATAAAATTTGTCCTTCTGTGACCAACTTCTTTCACATAGCTTATAAAATGTTTTCAAGGCTTTATTTCTGTTGTAGCATATACCAGTATTTTATTCCTTTTCACAGCTGAATATCAGCATTATATTTTATTAAATATTTTAAAATTAGAGGATGCCTAATTAGTTGCCCTAATAAATGTGTTACTACGACTACAGTTATTTAATATAGTGCATTACGCCTACACAAATGGTAAACAATATTTCATGTTTCCAGACCTAATAATTTCTAGACTGTTAATTTCTGTGCTGTGCCAACACAAATCAGTGTTTTGTTTTCATTGAGTTAGTTCAGTTTTGGGGTTACTCCCAGACTCCTCTGAGTGCTGAAGGTTGAATATGGACCTCCCACATGCAAAGCATGTGCTCAGCCTTTTGAGCTACCTATCAGGCCCTGTGCCTTTAAATTTAAAAGACAAAAAAGAAAAGAAAAAGAAAAAGCAGTGAGGGTTCCTTTTCTGAAATACTCTTTCTTTTTATTTAAGTTCTGCGGCCACATCTGGTGGTGTCTGGGGACCATGCAGTGCTGAGGATCAAATCTGGGCTTCCAGCATGCAAAGTGCTCAACTTGTTAAACCACCTCTTTGGTATTGTGAATTTCTAAAAGTATTTAAGCAAAGTAATGCAGTTTAGCTTGTACTTGAGAAACTCAATCTGGCATTAGTACGATAAACAGACTAGAGTGCATTGTATTTCCAAGGAGAAAATGTTGGTCTAACAAGAGGTGAACAAACCTGTGAGTTAAATCTAACCTGCAGTTTATTTTCATAGATCAAAGGGTGGTTTTATTTTGGATTGGGAGGGCTAGTTTAGGCACTCAAAGGCTTAAGGGCCGCCCCAGTCTTACTCATCCCAGAGGTAAAGGCCTGAGGGTTTTAGTGCTTGGGCTTGCAGTGCTGGGACCCACTAGAACCACCTTTGTGGCTCTTGGGCCACTAAAGCTCCTTTTTTGTTTGTCTGTTTGTTTTGTTTTTGGAGCCATACCCAGGTGCACAGGGCTTAGTAACTCCTGGCTCTGAACTTAGGGATCATTCCTGGCAGGGTTTGAGGTACCATATATGGTAAAAGGGATCAAACCTGGGTTGGCTGTGCGTAATGGCAAGAACTCTACCCCCTGTACTATCTCTCCAGTTTACTAAAGCTACTTCTATGAATGAGGAAAAGTTCCAAAGAAGTCTATTTCATGAATTAAATGAAATTCAAATTACAACATCTATATACTTTTATGCATGTAAATTATTTACATATTTTATATGAATACTTGGGGACTGTGAGACTTTTATATCCTTATAAACAAACGGTTTTCCTTTTTTTTTTCTTTTTTTGGGTCACACCCAGTGAGGCTCAGGGGTTACTCCTGGCTCGGCACTCAGGAATCATAATCAATTCAGGCTGCTGGATGTGACTGCAACCTCACCTCTCAAAGTAAGCAATATAGTAACATTTGTGGGTTTAATAATCTACCAACTGGGCTTTGTGAGATCTTAGAACCAGTCCTTGGCACACAGTGGTGCTCGGGGAGCTATATGGGATGCCGGAGATAGAACCTGGGTCTGCCATGTGCAAGGCAAAAGTCCTACCCGCTGTACTATCGCTTCAGCTCCCATTTTTCTTTATAGAGGAAGGAAAATTCAATCTACAGATTACAAAAAAAAAAAAGTAAAGATATATAGCTAATTTTACTTCATTCTTATCACCTTAAGTCTCTTCAATCTTAAATTAGAAAATTAGAGACTTGATCATATGGCTAGAAAATGCCTTTTACACAAAACAAGATAAAGCCATAGTCTAAATAAAAGCTTTTCCATAATTCAAGCATAATAAATTTATTTCCCACCTCCATTCCTTTGCCATGTAAAGAGTTTTTCAATTAAATACTCAAAGCGTCTTTATTGTGTATTATTCCTTTGCCATCCCATGTATTATTCTTGTCAAACTTTCCAGCAGAATTCTCACAAAATTAAGTGTCTAAATATTATCACCAAGTACCAGTTCCCAATATCATTCACTTCTTATGAACACTAGGTTCATTGTGCTAGTTATCTCATTTTCCAAATGCCTTTGAACAGAGGTGCCAAGGACTGGCCCTAAGATCTCACAAAGCCCAGCTGGTAGATTTTTTGTTGTTGTTGTTGCTTTCTGGGTCACACCTGGCAATGCACAGGGGTTACTCCTGGCTGTGCACTCAGGAATCACTCCTGGCGGTGCTCAGGGGACCATATGGGATGCTGGGAATCAAACCTGGGTTGGCTGCGTGCAAGGCAAAGACCTTACCCGCTGTGCTATTGCTCCAGCCCTTCAGCTGGTAGATTATTTAACCCACAAATGTTATTATATTGCTCACTTTGAGAGGTGGGGTTGCGGTCACATCCAGCAATACTCAAGGGTTACTCCTGGCTCTGCACTCAGCAGTCACTCCTGGCAGGTTTGAGGGGTCATACAGGATGATGGAAATCGAACCCAGGTCTGCAGCATACAAAGCAAGTGCTCTATCTGCTGTACTATCTCTACAGCCCCAATATATTTCTCACTTTTAAAATCTAGATTACAGGAATCTATTTGATCTCTCTTACACACACACACACACACACACACACACACACACACACACACACACACACCCTTAAGTCTTATCCAGCCCAAAACACATTTTGATACCTTTTCACATGTTCAATG